TTGCACATGTACTGCATTGCTTTTTATGTAATTCCATACATTTACTTTTATAGCCCCTCCCAAATTTTACTTGCATTCCTGTTCTCTAAAGGGGCGGTCCTAGGGTTTGATGAGGGCGTGGCCAGGTTTGGGTGGGGGCGTGGCCAGGGGAGGGAGGTGAGTTCCACCACCTTTTCTCTGAGAAAAAAAGCCCTGATCCAGAGTATCCGTGATATTCCTGTGTTCCTGACTATCTTGTGTTCTTTCTCTCTGGATGATGACAAAGATTGCTGTAAATATATATATTTACAGGAACAGAGGAATATCCTGAGGTAAATTAAACTTCACCTGGACAGCTGCTGCACAATTCCTTGACAGGAACAAACAATAACACATATAGCCCAAGAAAATCACCTTAGGAAATTTCAATTCACACCAGAAGCAGTTAAAGGGTTTTAGCTTCCTTAGATATCGAATTATAACATCCCATTGTGACTCTATGGCACCATATTATGGTGATTTTATCATGGTTTTAGCCTAACTTAATATTTTATCTTACACACATAACTCTAACTCTAACTTTAAAAAATATAAATATAAATATAAATATAAATATACCTGTCAGGAACATTGTGAGGTAAATCTTAACAGCACACAGAGGACACAGAAGAAAAAGGCGGGAAAGAAGGGAAACGCCCCCTCCACACCCATGGCAACCAATCAGAGCGTAGATTGCCTCATGCAGGAGCCAGCACTCTCCAGCCAATCAGCTACACAGATTTCGATATCCCAACACTTCCGATGCACCCCCACGTCACCCTGCGGACCCCCGGCCATTCCCCACTTGAAGAGCTTTGCCTTCAATTCTGGCCTGGCCTGTCCGGGTTCTGTCCAGGGGCTCCATATTTTGGGGGGCAGCTGCATTCCTGGAAGTGGTTTTGTTGGATCTGCATGATCCGTTTGGTTCTGGTTATTAAAACTCATCCATCTTAATTGCCATTCTTCACCTAGACCAGGGGCGTCAAACTCGCAACGTCACGTGACATATTGTGACTTTTTTTCCATTGCCGGCAATTGGGTGGGCCGGCAGTTTGACACCCCTGATCTAGACCATAGGACTGTGGTATGTTATTACAGAATAACTGAGTCAGAAAGGATCTCGGAGGTCTTCTAGTCCAACCCCTTGCCCAAGGAGGAGACCTCGAACCATTCTTAAAAGCCTCCAGTGTTGGAGCACCCGCAACTTCTGGTGGCCAGCTGTTCCACTGGCTAACTGTTCTCACTGTCAGGGAATTCCTCCTTAGTTCCAGGTTGCTTCTCTCCATGATTAGTTTCCATCCGTTGCTTCTTTTCACGCCTTCAGGGGCTTTGGAGAATAGCTTGACCCCCTCCTCTTCTTTGGGGCAGCCCCTTAATTAACCAAATCACTGCACTTGTTTTGTGAATCACATGGTTGTTAAGTGAATCCAGGTTCCCCATTGATTTTGCTTGTGGGAATACTTTTGGGATAATCACAAATAGTGATCACATGACCCAGGGACACTGCCACTGTCGGAAATTACACTGGTTGCCAAGCACATGAATTCTGATCACATGACCCCTGGGGATGCTGCAATGGTCGAAAGAATGAGCATAGGTCGTAAATCACTCTTTTCAGCAGCATTGCAATTTCAAATGGTTGCAAGTCGAGGACTGCCTGTATTGTTTTATGACACACTACCTGGAGTGATTGTCAGGAGGTGAGCAGACATACATAGAAGGTGAGTAAACCGGGATCAGCCTTTGAAGCCACACCCGATCCCGATTCTTCTCAGGATTCCTTCTGCTCCTTTTCCAGGAAAGTGGGAACTCGGAGGTGATCCTGATGATCCTGGATCTGGCCAGCCTCAACTCCGTGCGAGCTTTCGCAGAGACCTTCTTAAAATCGGAGCCCCGTCTGGACATCCTCATCAACAATGCCGGTGGGTGCAGAGCAGACTCCCCCTGGGGTATCTGGGCGAGGAAGTGGGAATATTGTGGGGGTCTCCGGGATTTCTCTTCCTTCGCGGGTTTGGCTGTAACTTCAGAAGCAGCTTTCTCCTCTTTGTAGTTCCTCGTTTTTGGTATCCCACCTTTATTATTATTTTTACAAGTAACTCAAGGCGGCGAACAGATCAAACACACCTTCCTGCTCCTATTTTCCTCAAAACAGCGACCCTGTGAGGTGGGTTGGGCTGAGAGAGAATGACTGGCCCAAAATCACTCACTTTGCTTTCATGGCTAAGGCGGGACTAGAACCCTCAGACTCCAGGTGATTGGCTCAGTCTCCCAGCTGGCTTTCATGCCTAAAGCAGGATTTGAATTCATAGCCTCCTGCTTTCTAGGCTTAACCACTAGACAAAACTGGATGCTTTATGACCATTATGCAGCCTGCCCATTACGGTTGTAAGGTGTAACAGTTATAAAGTGGGTTTCTGACTACTATGATTTCCTTTGTTGAGCCAGTCGTTGAGCGAACCATTTGTTCACTATAGGGTGTTTTTGCTGAAAAGTGGACGTAAACTCTGTTTTTCAACAAAAATGTCGTAAATCCTCCATCACATGACGGTGGACCAGGTTGTAAAGTGAAGACCAGTTCCCAAGCGCCTAAAATGTGATCATGTAACACTGGAGGGGGGCATTGCAAATTTGGAACTGGGTTGTAAGTACATTTTGGGCATCTGTTGTAACTTTGAATGATCACGGTGACCCCTTATAAACTGAAGACTACCTGGAATCTGCTTACTTTTTTTGGCAGGGGTCTTTAAGGATGGTCAAACCGCTGATGGCTTTGGTGAGGCCTTCCAGGTCAACCACCTGGCTCACTTCCTGCTGACCCACCTGCTCCTGGACCGGCTAAAGCACTGCGCCCCAAGCCGGGTTGTAATCGTGTCCTCAGGTGCGCACTGGGCTGGGAAGATTGACTTTCGGACCATCCACAAGCCGGTGGAGGGGATGTGGCAGGCCACAAAATCATACTGCAACAGCAAATTAGCCAACGTTCTCCACATGAGAGAGTTGGCCAACCGGCTGGAAGGAACCAACGTCACCTGCTACGCGGTTCATCCAGGTGAGTGGAAGTCCGGCTCCAAGAAGCCCCAGATGGAGACACCCTCCAGGTCCGTCTGGGGCTCTGCCAGGCATTTCTCTCCCACTGGGGGCTCCCTTGACCCCCTCTGCAGAGCCACCCCGAGAGTTTCCTCCATTGGGCTCAGCTGCAGAGGAAGGTTTTTCTCACCCTTCCGGGTCCCAGAGCTAATAGAATCCTAAAATCTTAGAGTGGGATGGGCTCTTGGAGGTCTTCTAGACCCACCCACTGCCTAAAGCAAGAATGAGGCTTTCCCCCTCCTCTTCTGCCTCCTCTTCACCTTCCCTTCTCTTCCTCTCCCCTCCTCCCTCCCTCTTCCTCCTAGTCCTTCGCTCTTCCTCCTCCTCCTCCTCCTCCTGCCATTCAATTCGTGTTCCGTTGCCTCCTTCCCCTTCCTCCTGTTCCTTCTCCCCCTTTGCTTTCTCCTGCTCCTTTGTCTCCATTTACCTTTCCTCCTGCTCTTCCTCCTCTTCCTCCCTTCCTCTTCTCTTCTTCCTTCCTCTCCTCTTCTTCCCTATCCACCTCATTCTCCTCCTCCTCTTCCTCCTCTCCACAAACCCCCCTCCCTTCTAGCACTGATGATGTTCCCCAGCTGAGTCACGAAATGTCTGTGTCATGGTTCCGATAGATGAAACCAATTAAAAGAACTTCAAGGCAAGGATTTCTTCCTTAAAGAACATTTTATTCAGGAAACAAAGTATGGGCACTTACACAGTTGAACCCAAGACTGAAGTTCCCTCCCCCAGATACAAAGTAACACATTGTAATTCTTGTTAAGTCCTGGGAATAATGGCGCTTGAGACGATTCATCTCCAACAAGTCTTTATTGTTTGCTCCACTCTCGAACAACCAGAGCAGAGGCATGCAGGCCTCTATTTATACCCTCTGATCCCCGGGCAAGTTCAACCAATCATGAGGCGGGCTTTTCCCGCCTTGCGCATGCGCACAAGGCCGGCGCCGCTCAGTCTGGTCCCAGGCAGCTTCTGCAAATGCCCGGGACTTCTTGCAACGTCCCGAGCCTGCAAGATGCAGGCTCAGGACACAACACCCCTTTCCCCTGGATGAAATAAGATTGCGCCCACATGGATGCCATCCTATAGATGGTAATATAATTAAATAATGAAATAAAGTTACACAATGTATAAGGTGTGGGACTGTTCCTTTGAACCAGATCCAGTGACCCCCCCCCGACCTTGTTTTACTTAAATACAACCCGCCAGTACCTTCAGTCAGCTCTCGCTATGTACCTGTTCACCTTACGTAATCGGCTAGGTATTTGGGAGGGCCTCTTGCCCTGAGTGACTTTCTCAGACCTGGAGTGTTTGTATTGTCATTTCCGTTGCTGCTTGCTCTAGGTGAAGTGCCCTGTGAATGACCAGTGACTTCAGCTTGGCTTTCCAGCCCATCTCCTGTAATTGAGCAGTCCGGGCCCTGTTGGTCGTTAAACCTGGTTGACCAGCCCTCAATGGAGTTATCTAACCCCTGTGAGTTCATTCCCGTGTTCCCTGAAGGAATGTAGGATTCCTGGCTC